TATATATATAGAAATTAGAAGTTGTTAACATCGATCGAGAAGTTCGTTTCGTTACGTTCGTAAAATTTGAAAAGAATCATTGAGAGAGAAAGATTAAAGACAAAGAGAGGGAGAGTTTTCTACGTTTCTTTCGTTCTTCATTTTCTATCTGTAAATAAAATATTTTCTTTGGTTGTTCAGTGTTGATTAAGAGTATTTAAAAAATTTGAAACTTCGTATCATGCATGCAAAGTTACGTACAATTTTAATGTACGTAAATTTAATCTTCTGGAAATCCATCTGCAATTAATATAAATATGCACATTTGTTTCAAATCTCATTTTCTCTTTCGAACAAAATCGGAGGAATTCAACGTTGCAAACGTTGCTTTTTCTTTTTTCTTTTGTCAGAGATCGCGTTGTAAGGACGAAGAATGCCTGTGTTGTTCGAGATTTTTCGAGGCTTTGCAAAAAGAAGAGGGGAGGAGGGAGCAATAGGGAGGGAGTGGTTCGAACGATAAAATTATTTTTTTTTTTTTGAACTACGGAGATTTTAATTTTTGAAAAACAATATTACTTTTTATTATAATATTTATTGTTTCTTAAAGAAAGTAATTAAATATATGTGAAAAATTAATTTAGCATAGAATAAAAATGAAAATATATAATAATCGATATATAAAAATATTGAAAGATTGAAAGGAATAAAAAAAATTGTTAATTAAAGATAGGAATATTATTAAATATATATTATAATATAAGATAATTTAAAATTAATTCATAAATATCAGTGGCTAGATTAAAGAATCCGAGGGTTTAGTTGTACATGTCACGTGAACAAAATTAATTTTAGCGTAGCTTTGCAAAGTTTTGCGAATCAAATATGGTAAAAAAGAGTAGAAAGTTTCTACTTTTCGCATATCCAACTCTTATTACGTGGAACGTGGAATAAAAAATCATTGACAAATCGTTGCATTTTGTGAATTTCTAACATGAAGCAATTACTTGACTTTAACCTTAAATTTAAATTAAAATAGATGTTTCGAGATGTATTCATATTCCATTTTATAAAATTATTATTTCTTAATAAATTTACAAAATATTTGAAATCTAGTAATCGATCAATTATCGATCAATTCTCTGCCTATATACTTTGTTCAATTTCTTGTAAACAAATTTGTTTTGCAAAAAGAGGATTTAAAATTTTAACATGCAGTTTCGATATTATATATTATGCATTACATCGAAACAATTATTTCTTATTAATTTGAAAATGAATTTTCTCCACTTCTTCGTACATTGTTCGAACCACTGTGACGCCGTTACGTTTTTTTTCAAGGCGTTTCTCAGCTTTCCAACAGATCAATGGCGGACAACGAGTTTAATTATTCGCGAAAGAACAAATGCGGATTATCTTTCTTCCGGTTTTCCATTCGAAAGGGCGTTTTATCACGTTCCTGCGGCCTCTCCTCTCATTGATTATATCGAGAATTATATTTTCACGGCCCGATCTCGTCACGTAGAGAAGCGTGATCGCGCGACCGCGAATGGTATTCCGAATGGGCGATGAATCGATTTTTTTTT